AAATAATAAATTTATTTAATTGTGTAAAAAATAAAATAAAATAAATTTTTATTTAATCTAGCTAAAAATAATTAAAATATTAAAGATATGTTTAATATTGCTATTACTTAGTAAACAGTTGAAAAATGGTAAAATAGTCTTTTGTTCATTTATCCTATCCAATCCATCCAACCAAACGTTGGATTCACTAAAAATAATCCTTTCCAGACATCTAATCCCATGAAAAAACAAACACAGGATACATATCTAATCCAACCAAATAATCCGGGGGATTCACAGTCTCAGGACTCAAGTCCGATGGATTATAATCCCCTCTTATCCAGTCCGTTCAATCAAACACATGGGGGACTATTTACTGTGCGGATTGTAATTCAGGGGAAGCATCTAATACGGTATTTGTTTTTTTTTTAGTCCGCCGGACATGGAGTCCGGTTGGACTCCTTATCCCTCATATGGGGGATTATACTATAGGGGGGGTGGGGTGCGAGGTGTTAGACAATTTTGAGGGACTATTTACTGTTGGGATTAGGTGGTGAAATGACCATTTTGACCCTCTACTATTTAATTATGTATTATATTTAGCAAAATTCAATAAAATTTAAATGTCTCAATTTAAAAATAAAATATTTTTATTTAACTTTTTATTGATTTTTCATTTATTTGTGTGTTTAAATAATTTTTTTTAGATATTTTATTGATGTTTTATTTTAAAATTTTGTTTATATTTTATTTAATTTCTTTATTTAAATTTTAAAGATGTTTTATTTTATTTCATTATTTAATTGTTATTATTATTTAAAATTTTAATCAAAAAAATAACATATATTTTTATTCATATTCAATTTTTTAAAAATATATTTATTTAATTGTGCAAAAAATAAAATAAAATAAATTTTTATTTAATCTAACTAAAAATAATTAAAATATTAAAACTATGTTTAATATTACTATTACTTAGTAAATAATTGAAAAGGATAAAATAGTCATTTGAGCATTTATCCTTCTCTATAATATCCCAAACAAACATTGGATTTACTAAAAATAGTCTAATCCGGACATCTAATCCCATGACTAAACAAACATAAGATACAAATACAGTCCAACTAAATAGTCCGGGGACAATGTATCTCAGGACTAATAATCCGATAGATTACAGTCTCTCCTTATCCAGTCCGTCAACTTGCAATTGTCCTAATTAAATTAAGTTTGTGTTTAGTTAGAGATTTGAAAAGAAGTTTAAAAAGAGAAGAAGAAAAAGTGTATAAAATTAAATAAAATATAAATATATTTTATTTTTATTTTACCATTTTTTTTTTCTTTTTAAATTTCTCTTCAAATTCTGAGCCAAACATATCTTAGCAATTAACATTCATATCTCTCTCAAAATGTCAAACCCGTTCTCACGATTGCTACATGTGATGTGCCTGCTTGCTAAAGGCAAGCATGATAAGAAGTCAATTTTCTTTTATTATATTGATGAGAGGTAGAAACATGTTTACAAATTTAAAATTGATGAGTTAGAATAGATTTAATCCGTGAATAACTATTAAATATAATAATAAGAATTAACATTCTCTCCAGCTGTTGGGCATCCTAACTAAAAGATGATGTTGGGCTTTCTTGAACCTCACTACGAGCTCTTATTATTTGATTTGAATTGTTCAAATTGTAAGACTTTATAAATAAAATATTTATGTAAAAAAATTAAATTAATTAAATAACAATAATCACGTGATCACAACAACACCTTTCAATTAAGATACCTAATTGAAGAGAATTAGGAACTCAATAATAATAGTACTTCAAAATATTACTAACTAATAACAAATCTTACGTACTAATTAGTAATAAAGATTGGATGGTTGGATAACTTGAGTTAATGGGAAACAAAAATTGACATGCCAATCTCTTGAGGTTTTTTTATTGATAGGTAAGATTTTATGTAAAATGACATTACAAATACATTCAATATATCTTTATGATTTATGCATTTCTTTTTCGAAATGATTTTCAACATACTTTTCAGATTGTTGGATGTTT